GAAATTTTAAAGCATGGAACAGCTTGTTAAGAGAAACTTGCATAATGAATTGTCTCTGTCGCGCTGCTCCGACAATTAAGAATTATGCTGAGTTTTAAGTGTATGATGGAGCGAGGAGGATGGAGTTATCGTTAGAAATCAGGTTGGGTGTTTGTATTGGTGGCATCTTGTATAAGCTGCATGGACTGGGTTTTCTCTTAGTGAAGTTGATGGCATTTTTACCATGGATTTCAGTTTAGATCTTCAGCTGATAGACCCCGGTCAGCTGAGGGCCAGCCTCTCATTATTGTTGGAGGCTATAGGTTCGAGACTGGATGCAAAAGGGTCTTGGGCATCTAAATTGCTGTTTAGATGAAATTTGTTCCTGGGACTTGCTACACCCTGGACCCAGAGTCGGACTCCCTTTTGCTTGTTTCTGGCCCTGGGGTTCATACATTCATGCCTATTTCAATAGGAAGGCCTGCGGGTGCCATCACCCAGCCTAGCCTATGGCCTGATGGCTGGGGTGTTTTTCTAGGAAGCAGATGTGCTTTCAAACCCCTCAAGCTAAGGTAGAAAGAGCCCAGCTCCTGCTTTTTCCTGGCCGAGTGCTCATATAACTCCTGAGCTATCAGGCAGATACTGGGCTCCTCCTCTATGACATGAGCTCTGGGCACATGTACTGCATTGGACCCCTCTAAGGACTGAGACACCAAGTCTAGATGGGGGCTCAAATGTTGGCTAGAAGTGTCTGACCCAGCAGTGCAGGGGGTGCCTAGTTCAGGGTTCGGCAACCCCTGGCATGCATGCCAGAGCATGGTATACGATGCCGTTTTGCTCAGCACACCACAGCTGCCCCCAGCTTTGGGCAGCTGCTGCCGGCCATAGAGCCTGGGCTGCCTGCGGCAGGCAGGGAGGCTGCAAGCCCTGCTACAAGCAGCCTGGGCTCTGTGGCAGGCAACAGCTGCCCAAAGCCCGGGCCAAATGTAGGAGGCTGCAACCGATGCATTGGGGTCTGCAGCCCCAGCCTGGCACTGTGGCTGGCAGCAGTTGCACTCGTGCTTTGGGGCGTATGGCGAGGAAGGGGCCTGGGGCAGTGCAACCCTGGTCCCTTCCCCACTGCATGCCCTGAGGCATGCACGCAGCCACCACTGGCTACAGAGCCAGTGTGGGGCTCTGGACCCCAGTGCAGCTGTCTGCAGGCTGCCCGCCTACTGGGAGCAGCCCTGGCTCTAGCAGCAGTGGGTGCACGCATGGCTCAAGGTGCATGGCGGGGAAGGGGCCAGGGCTGTGGTGCCACAGCAAGGATCAGGCCAGTTGTAGCTCCTTTGCTTTCCACCCCTGGCACACCAGCCTCTTCACAGTCCAGGTTGTGGGATTTTTTGAGACCATCCCGAAAACTTTGCCGACCCCTGGGGTAGTTGCGGCCTGAGTCCAGGAGAATGATGGGATTTCAGATGAATGGCCTTCTTCTGTGCTTCCTATTGGCTGGGCTGGGCATGGCCCCTCTCCTTGCTTTGCATGCTGGCTGCTGTGAATCCTCATCCCAAGTGCTATATCCCTCCATTTAAAGTGCAGAGACCATGGGGCCATCACTCAGGTTTCTTTAGTTTCAGTCCTGGTGGCAGATGCCCGTATTTTGGGTGAGATGATGCTCAGTGTGGTCTCTATTAACCTAGACCCACATCTACAAAGTGGACATAGGCACTGCAGTGCCAAATGCTGCAGCAGCTAACATTCAAGTGCCTCGTGGAATATATGCCACCCAAGATAAGTGCCCAGAGACTGTGCAGGGAGAGTTCAGTGCCTGAAATTGGGATCCACAGAAGATATGCTGAAAGGGAGCTGAGACTGGTAGTAGAAAATGCAGAGGAGAGGAGTGTGACTTAGGTCCAGGCCCCATTCGAACCTTACAGCAGGCTGCAAGGAAGCATCTCCTTCCACTTGGATTCGACAGCCCTGAAAATGTTCCACTCCTTGCCCCTGTGAATACTTAATTTGCATGTATGAAACAGCAAAAGAACCTAAACTTGATCATCTCAGTGGCCCCACCTTCTCTAATTACGCTGCCTCTTGTCCTCTCCCTCTTTCTGGCCCGGTGACTATCTAATTAAATCATGCTAAGTGGAACAGCTTCTTATAGTGCTATGTCCTATAGCTCAGTGTTTAGGGCAGTCTCCTGTTTACAGGAGTGCGCTTGAACTGAGGGGAAGGGACTTGAATGCAGGTAGCTCTTATCTGATGTGTGTGCTCTAACTACACAGCCGTTGAATAAAATGAGGCAGTAGTACTGTTGGTTATGAGTGGTGTTGACCTGGGTTGGTGTTATCCATGTGCAGAGAGACCTAGTTAGCTGTGTTAGTTTGAAGTCAAGTACAAGGCAGGGTACATTTGCACCATATAGCCTAACCAAGGTAGATATAGGTAGATGTATCGATTGTTGTTAGTCTGCAAGGTGCAGCTCTACCTCCCACTGGACTTGTGTTCAAGACTGAGGTGCTTCTGGGTATGTCCAGAAGCAGACCTTTTGGCACATGATAAACTTTAATTTTGGAAATTTAGATGCCTACTGACTTTAAATGACTCTGGCTTAATCCAGTGGTAGGTTTGGAAGAGTACTTTGGAGTATCTGCAGTGGCAGTTCAGCGAGCCCATTCCTTGTGGATCTAGCTAGACACACATACATGCATGCATACATACATACGTGTGTGTGTGTGTGTGTGTGTGTGTGTGTGTATGTATGTGTATAAGTTTATGTGTGTATGTGTATATATACATATGTGTGTGTGTACATATGGCGCTGGAAAACATAGGACTGGACAGGCATCCCCATTGCTCCCAGGTGTCAAGTCCCCTCTGCTGTGCTTTCACAAAGTGAGGGATAAAAATGCATGTGGGTGTAGGAAAGTCCTCTTGGATCAAATCCTGGTGATGCCAAAGTCAACAGGAGCTTTACTGACAAAGATCTGAATTTGGCCTCTTATTTAAACTGGTGTGGTGACCGTTTTCACTTAGACACAGTTCACATAAACCCAGTTCGCTTCCCCAATGAAGTCATATATCACAATTTCTCCAATGAAGTCATGTATCAAAATTTTCCCTGGTGGTTAAGTGTGTGTGAGATTAAGAGATAATGTCATTGGAAGGGAACATCATTAACATGATAATGGACTCCTGCTGCTAGGTAAATACCAAGCCAAGGGACTTAGAGGAAGTAAACACAGACTAACAACTAAAGCTTTTTTTTCCTTCTTTTTTTCTTTTTTTTTCCCATTCTGCCCCAAAGGGAAATGATTATCCTGTCAAAACATTCTCCTCCAACATGAGCTTAGAAGATTACTGAGAGTCACGGTGCTGACAAGGCAGCATAGAGAAACACTGGTATTATTAGCATCCATGAAATGTATTGGGTGTCTAGCATAAATCCCGGACAACGTGGAATGAAGCGTTTGCAGGTTCTTGTGATTTGGGGTGGGCTTTTTTCGGGGAGGAGGTTGTACATAACTTAATTACTCATCACTGACAACACATGCAAGATTGTATTTATAGGTGATGAAGACGGTGGGGCTTAGGATTCAGTCCTGCCAGCAACAGCTGATTTCAGTTCCCAGCTCTGCTGTGGGGGATGTTGCATATGATCATTTAGGGAAAGATTTTTTTTTTTTAAATGCACCCAGTTTTCAGCACCTCGGGGACTTAGCTCATTCAAAAATATTGGAGCTGCTGTACTCTGTCCGTGTTTGAAAATCTGACCTTCATTCACATGTTGCACTCATTGAACATCCGAGCTATGTCTCGGCCTCAGTTTTCCCACCTGAAAAATGGTCATATATACTTGGAGTGATGTAAGGTTCACTAATGTTTAAGTTCTGAGGCTTATTACATAGGGTTTGACTGACAAATTAAATAGCTGCGTGTCCCAGACCCTACATAGCTGGGGACATGTTATATATTCATCTGTTGTGTGTGCCCTGTGAGCCTATGGAGAAGTAAAGTGCAAAACTTGGTCTTGTGTGACTGACCTGTTCTTGATTGAAATCAGATGATCTTATATGTGCAGTGCATAGGTGGAATCATAGCCAGGTAAATGCACGTACCAGTAAAAATGAACATGTGAGCAGTCACGCTGTGGTTAAGTGGTCAGGAGTAGGTAATGTCTAAGTGGCAAATGAAATTAAAGTAAGCACAAAGGAGAATGTAGGGCTGGAAGGGGCCTCCTGGGCCATCAAGTCCAGTCTCTTGTGCTCGCAAGCAAACATTTATCCGTGGAAACCACAAAATCACCACTGCAAACCTACAAGGAGCAAAATCCTAAACACCAAAAAGCAGGGTATCAAAATGCCACAGGTAAAAGTAGGATCGCCGAGGCCACTGGCAATGCCCTGCTACTGCGAGGACGGGGAAGTAGTTAGCTAATCTATGCTCAAAAGATTATAGGAAAAGGACCATGTCCAATGTTAATTCATCATATCCTAGGACATGGTCCTAGGATGCACCCTTCAGGTGCATGAAATGCACCCTTCAGGGTCCGAGGTAGTGTTAACCCTCTCACAGTGCCTACAGACAGGCTCTCCTGCCATCAGCAGTCAGCCATGGTTGGAAAAATCTTTTCTTCTCCATTCTGCCTTTTGAAAGCAGGGTGTGCGTCTTATTTGGGGGATGTGATATGTGCGAAATTGCAGCATGTTACTGGTACAGGGAATGCAAATTATTGCCTTGGATATGTTGGTAATGCAAAATACTGTCCAGGTCTGCCCCAATGTTGCTTTCAAAGGAAATCCGTTTTGCTAGATAAAAGCATCTATTTGTAGCAGTATCATTCCCAGAATGGGATTTTAAGCTGTCTTGGGTAGGGTCCCCTTTCATTATAACTATATGTAGCACCTGGGACAGTGGAGCCATAGCCCTATACTGGTACCGCTAGATGCTACTGCAGCGCACATCATCAGTGCTAATATTCGTTGTGTGGTCATGAGAGCCCATTAAAGCTTTCCGTTGTACTTTTTTTTGTCTTTCATCAGGTTCTCAGCATGGTAATCAATGCCGCTTACAAACCGGGGAGCGTTTTACGAGAGCTGCAGCTGGTGGAAGACCCACAGTGGAATTTCCAGGAGGAAACACTGAAGGCAAAGTGAGTATCTCCTCGCGCTGTCCTTTTGTTTCCAGCTTCTTTTATTTTCAGAATATGGAACGGATTGAAAAACCAAGTGACATTTTTGTGAACATTTTTCTCTATAGTGGTTTTTTTTTAATACCGTATTAGTTTTTAATTTAGCCCTGTATCTGTTTAAAAAACTAAAAGCAAATGCTCTGACATTTCATTTCTATATTTATTTATTTATTTGTTTATTTATTTTTTGTCACCAGCGTTCCAGATGTTAATGAAAGCTTTCATGTTTGAATCAGCGTAGTATTGAATTTTACAGAATGCTGTTTGGATGTAAATTTGATCTGTTTAGTTGCTAATCCAGGTCTTTGTCTTCTAATCTTTGATATAAAGGCTCTTTACTTCTAGGGAAGAAAAGTGTAACAAAAAACAGTCCTTAGGAGCAAAAACCAAACAAATTTGGACAAGGCATACATTTTGAATAATGATTAAACATCGGAGAACATGATTAAACATTGGAGGAGAGTAATGGTTTCTTCTCTCTAAATCTTCAAATCAGCACTGGATACCATTCTGGCAAAATATGCCTTAGGCAAGCTCAAGTTACTGGTGTCAATAGTAATTCAGTGAACATCAATGATCTGTATTACATAGGATGCCCAACAACATGATCTCATGGTCCCTTATGATCTTAAAATCTATTAATTTGTATTTGCCTTATAGAGTAGTAGTAGTGTATTCAACTTTGTTTCCCTGTTTTAATAGACTTTGCTGCAACTTGAAGGTTGAGTATGCTCAAATATTGAATATTCTTAAATACACCATTGTTGAATGGTCTCGTATTATCTGTTTGGCCATTCAGATACCATTGTTAGCTAATCCTGCACTCTGATTGAGGGATAAAATGTGAGAACCCTTTTACTCTAAAATCACGGACCCATTGTCATTTGAACTAAGGAGGCAGCCTCTGTTAGAACTGAAAAACTATTTGAAAATCTCAGGAAAGGGGAACTTAATATTTTATGATGAACTCAAATGAGTTTCTCCTACAGATTTGCTAAGGTCAGGAGACCATAAGTGCATTTAACAGGCACGAATCTGTTTCAGCTGAAGACTGAGTCACGCTGAAATCATTAGAAAATCTGATTGTTGGTGTTTTCACTAGAACACTCTTCTATCTCTGAAATCCAGCATCAGGTGTAATCTGGCAGGTGTTAAATCAGGTGATAAATGCTTTTTGCAAAATGTTTTTGGAATAAAGATGTAAATGGCTGGATTGTCATTGGTACTGGTCAGGAATAGGTCCTATGATACCCACAGCCCCTCTTGCTTCTTTGCATTTCAGAAAATCAACTTTATTGCTTAGTTTGGGGTCCAGGGCTGCAAACACTTAAATTTATGGGCAATTTTACAAAGGTAGAAGTCCCACTAGACCCTTAGTGGCATTATTTGCCTGAGCTGGTTGAATGTTTAGTAGTAATGTTTGCTCAGTTGGCCCCTACGACAGCAGTGGTTGTTCCAGTAGGTCTGTTGAAAGTCAGCCACTAGTGGGTGAAGTACTCCCAACTCTTTCAACAGGACATTCCTTCCCAGCAGAAAGCAGGGATGATTTACCTGTTTACTTGCCACGCACTTTGTTTCCCTGAGTGCTTAGATCCCATAAACCACTGCTTGGCTTTCTTGCATTGAATACCAGCCTCTGGCTGCTTTACTATTCATTCCACCCAGGAAGAACGCGTACACCAACTGCAGATGCTTCCTCAGCCTGACAAAGGGTATCTACACCCGAAAGCTTGCAAAGAAAAATGTTTCCAACTATTTCCGTTGGGCTAATAAAAGATACCAGATTTACCCAAAGAACCTGGTCTGCTTATGTCCTTAGACCAGCATGGCTACAACCTATACCCCGGATCCCATAAAAACAGCTGTCAGAGGAAAGCCCGCAGAACTTGCAAAATTAACCTGACTGATTTTGTGTGTCTTGCTTGGACTTCGGAGAAATCTGGCAGCGCCTGTATTGAACCCAGCAGTCTAGAAACCAAAGCAGGCTCAAAAAATCAAACTCTGTGGAATTGTTAAAGCAGCATATGACATGATACATCTGATATGACCGTCCGTTCCACTTCTGAATCTTAACCAGTGACTTATAATAAGCCAAAGCCGGTGTAACCCAGGTTTCAAGGGCGCTGGTTACAGTGGCATCTGCCGACAGACTACTAATCGGAGCAGCTGGAACGTGCCTGTTGTAGTGCGATGTGTCACATCACCGCCCTCCTTCTGGTGTCAGGTTGACAATTTTTTAGGTCTTGATAGTTGTTTGGTTTTGAGGGCTGCAGCGGGGGAAGGTGAGATGGGGAGAGAGAGGATAGCCCTTTTCCTGGCAGCAAGCCGAAACACTTGCTGCCAGGATTCGATTAGCTCCGCAGCCTGTGTGCAGTTCATGCTGCTGTCATCAGGGCCCGTCACTGGCAATAGCTTTGCAGAGAAGATACAACTTTTAGATTAGTGATTCCTCCTGTGTGCTTTGCTGAGGTCGGAGGTGCTCAGCTCGTCCCCTCTGCTCCTCCCACACTCCTGGGGCCAGCACGAGGAGCTGTGGGGGCAGTCACCAGAGGCATGAGAAACCCTGCAGGAGCAGCCACAGTGGCAGGAGCTACCCTTGCCCTGGGAGGTACAAACCAGGGCAGAGAGGGGAAGGATAGTGGAAAGATCAGGTCCCAGCAGGGTTAGGATCTGCCCTCGCTGGGCAGCACCTAGATCAATGGTCCTTAACTTGTTTTAGCCTCTTTATCTTTTCTGAATTTAGATTCTAGTTCAGTGATTCTCAGTAGGGGTGCTGCAAAACTCAAAGAAGTTATGGAGCGGTGCTTTGAGGCTAAAAAGATTGAGAACCACTGAGTTCAAATGTCCAAAAGGGTGTATGCACATCGGGGAATCACAGTCACCCCCATCCACGATCGTCGGTGGCCAGCGGGCCTCACCCCTGCGGGGGTGGTCCGCATCCTCGGTCCCTGCCCGTGCCCAGTCGGGGTGTGGGCGCAACGTGTGCCATCTGCCGCCCTCCGCAGGCGGCCCTCCGGGACTGGCAGCATAGCCGCATGGACTGCGGACGTTACAAAGTCCACGAGTGCTGGTCACCGCGCCTGAGCGACACGACTGTCGGTGGCCAGCGGGCCTCACCCCTGCGGGGGTGGTCTGCATCTTTGGTCCCTGCCCGCATCCAGTTGGGGTGCGGGCGCAACGTTTGCCATCGGCCGCCCTCCGCAGGCGGCCTCACGGGACTGGCAGCATAGCCGCATGGACTATGGACATCAAATAGTCCCATCAGTGCTCCCTGCGAGCCGCTGAACCTTATTTATTTTGCCACGATGAGCCAAAGAAGTTATGTCCAACTACCTGATTCTTCCAACCTCTCCAAGTTTAAAATTCTTTTAAGGGTCCCTGGCAGATGTGGGTCTCCAGTTTTTCTAATCACTAGCACACTCTTCTTCCTGTGCCTAAATATGGATGTGGATGCTTGGCTTTCAGCACAAGGGCTGGGATGACTTTCGGCATTAGAACGGTTGGAATGATTTTGTAGCCACAATGAGCCAGAAAATATGAGAAAAACAAGGATTTTTGTGGGTGGTATCTTTTATTGGACCGATTGCGTGGCTGTGATGGCTAGACTTAGACAAGCTTTTGAACACAGTACATTCTTCTTCAGGTCTAAGGATAAAGGCAGGCACCACAGGGACTCAAACCAGTTGGCAGAGCTGTGAAACTGGAGAAGAGAGAAATTCCCAGGGGTTGGGTAGCAGACAAGGAAATCCCAGGAAAAGGGATAGTTTGATTAGTGCAAGATCAAGACCTATCAAGAGGGAAGAGGGTCTTTATCACCTGTTGTGTGGAGAAAGATTAGCAGGTGTCAAGCACATTATAGCATTGAGCATCTGATAAAGTGAGCTTATGAAAGCTTCTGTATCTCTGATTTGGTGAGTTTGTATGGTGCAACTCTTGCTTGTCTTCTGCCAGATTGTTATATGCCGTGGAGTCAATAGCAACCTTCAGCCCCTGGTCCCTAGTATTCAGTCGGCTTATGAATTTTTGTTCCCGGGGTCACCTTTGGAAGGTGTTTTGTGAATTTTCCTTGAGCACAATGATAATAAGGTCAGAAAGTGAGTGTTTGTGCTGTGAAAAGTGTTCTGCTCATTTTTGTATGTCTTTGTCCTTCATCTTTTTCCTGTGACCTTTCATTCTGATGCATAGTAGTAGTCTAGTTTCACCCACATAGTTTCCATGAGGGCATTGGGCACCCTGGATGAGAGTAGTGAGCAAGAGCTCACTTCAAGAGGCGCTCTGTGCTATAATTTACCTGTCTCCTGCTAATCTTTCTTCACTCTGCAGGTGATAATGACCCTTTTTAGAAGTCTTGATCTTGCACGAATCAAAATATCCTTTCTTCTCTTATTTTTTTCCTCAGTTTCTCTCTTCTCTAGTCTCACCGCCTTGCAAACTATTTTTTTTTCTTTGTTGTGCCTACCTTTTTCCTCAGGCCTGCAGAAGAATGCATTGCATTAGAAAGCTTGCCCAATTCAATCCTAGCCATGCCATTGGCCCAATAAAGAATATCCCCCTGCCTTTGTTCTTCAGGCCTTGCCAGTGCCCTAGTTTCTATGGCTGAATCATGCCTGCCCACCTTTGATATTGGTGGGTGAAAAACTCACTGATTCACAAAAGTTAGGGGCTGAAAGGGACCTCGTGAGATCATTGGGTCCAGCCCCCCTGCTCGGGGCAGGAAAGACCGCTGGGGTCAAATAACCCAGCAAGGTGTGCATCTAAATGTACACATGTGCCTAGTGATGTCTTCTGGGTCTTGTTCCTGAGCTGTTGGTGTAAACACGAGCCCTGGCAGATCTCAAAAGGAAGAAGTCCCGTGATCCTTTTGTGACGGTAACAGCTAGTCGCAGGAGTAGGACTCAATCAAGCTGTCCCCTAATCTGAAACTATTGCTCATTCATGCAACAACTGTGTCCCGCTGTGTTTTAAGACAAACCATCCATGCTCCACAAGTATTTCTATCAGTTCGGTCTAGGAAGCTCTAATGTGTAACGTTATGAAAGGGAAGATGGAGTTTGACTGTCCAGGAGAGTTGCTGAGCATTCACACCAGCAAGGTGTGCCTCATGGTTAGGTCACTGTACGGGGACACACATGGTCTGGGTTCTGCTTCTGTCACCGGCTACCTGGGACAAGTCCTTCAAGGCATCTACACACCACCGCCTGGCCATGCTGCCAGAAAACATGTCCTACTCCATGTGCATCCAGGCCTACAAATTGTGGGAGTAGATGACTTGGTGGGATGATCAGGGTTGGATGATATGACCCATGGAGGTCTCTTCCAACCCGGCTTCCCTATGATTTCTGTGATGAACAAGTTTTTGATGCAGAGCATTCCTCTTTAGGGGCCTGCATTGCCATGAATTCATTGCCACGGGTTCATCGGTGGCAGGTCCTGTCAGACCAACCTGGTGGCCTTTTACGACCAGGTCACTAAATCATTGGATGCAGGGGTGGCAGTGGATATAGTTTTCCTAGACTTCAGGAAGGCTTTTGACACTGTCTCTCACCCCATTCTCATTAGGAAGCTGGGGGACTGTGGCGTAGACACCCATACAGTCCAATGGGTCGCCAACTGGTTAGAGAGTCGCACCCAGAGGGTGGTAGTGGATGGGTCCTTCT